TTATGAATTTAACATGACATGGAAACTTATTTAATAAAATTGTATATCTATCGAAGTCATATACGAATATCGCCTATCATAACATACCCAGATATCTATCAAACTTATACAAAAACGTTGAAATATATTCTAAACAAAATTAAATATACAACACATATATTTCTTCAAGTTCTTTATAATATTGTTATAACAATATTATACGTTTTATTATATGAAAGATGTTAAAATTATAGTATAAGCTTGTAACTTTACGTGAGCAATCAGTCACTCGATTTTACACAATACTTTCTTAAAATGAAATTAGGCCAAAGTCAGTCATTAAACAAAATAAGGTAAGGTATTTAAAAAACGTAAAAAGGTTTGCGCTCTATTTCATAATGTGGACGCGCCTTAAAATTACATTTGTAGGTAGAACATAAATTAAGTAATTACTTATTATCAAGAAAAAGTTATAAAATCAACACTGAAACATGAACGCTTTTACGAGAAGATAATATACAAAATGTTACATTAACTTTTTAAGATAATGTATTTTTTAATTTGATTACACATACGCCATTTCTTGTTTGCCAATGTTTTACAACATCAAGATCTTTTCTATCATAATGTATCTTGAAGATTCGAGAAATGGATAAAACATAAGTTACAAAGTGTTACCTACTACGGGTTCTTTTATTTTAATTGACGGAAAGTTATCTATAATCAATCTAATATAAGCCACGGGATGTATAAAACAAACAACCGCTATAATGTTTCACAATGACATCAAATTTATCTATTACGATATAAAATCTAACTTACAATAAGACTTAAAGTTAATATAAAGAGTGTATAGCAATTAGGAAGACATCGATAGCCTGCATGAATTTCTTTGTTGATATAGAAAATATAGTTGTAAAATTATATTCAATTGTACGCAGTTTTTAAAATTCAATACAACATTTTTATGCTCTATATCATTTACACTACGCAATATCTACTTCATCAAATTGCAAAATAAAGCAAAGATTAATCAATAATAAATAAGAATAGGTTTAGGGTATGTGTACGTACAATATTAATGTTCTTAAGGTTAAATCATACAATTTCTGGTAAGTTCAATTATAGTCATAAGTATTGATGAACAAAATTTACTGATATGCAAGTATGCAAGACAATCTAAAGTAATTGACTTTCAAAGTTAAGACTGTGATCATTTAGCACACTAGTATTCAATAAATCTGTATTCAGTGAAAGTCACTTATAATAAATATAATAATTAGGAGAATCAAGGTTCATTCAGGCTCAAGGTTGAAACTATTGGTAGATGAACATTAAAACACTAGAAATAATAAAATATGCCATAACAAATAGAGAGTGGAATACCAAAATTATAATAGACGAACCATTATCATGGTCAAGCTGTCAAATCTGTTGGAGAAAATATAATTGTTAACAATGCATTCATAACTTAACTTACAAATGCACACAAACTCAAGAGCATCACAAAGTTTTACAAGCAATTTGAGAGTAGTGAAGTATATTTATAATTATCTACACTTATATTATCACACCGATTTTCCTATACTAATTTAATTGGTATACATAATCAAACAAAAGTTGATGTTATAGGTATATTCTATACAGAAAACATGAAGCGTTGGATAGAAAAATATACAAAGTATACACCAATATATCCTGAATGTGCACTTCTGCGGGAGAAAACTCTATTATGCGTTGAACTTATCTTCAAAAGCGCCCATCTCCTATGCTGGTGCTATCTAAAATGTCGTTCGTACGGAACCTTTGCAAATAAAGGGACCGATAAGAGAAATGCGACTGAAACACAATTTATACAGGTCACATTCTGAATCATAAACGAATGTACAGTCACGGAATGAAAAGGTTCGTCAGTTTTCAAATTGATTCCTTCAACGAATCGCGAGCACATATTACCTTTTGAAACTATGTTACAGAATAATCTCGAGTTAGAGAAAATAATATTTAACTGTTCCTCAGTAAAGTTCAAAATTATTCAGATCAAAGTTGTTTGACGATTTATTTTGTCAAGAAGATTATTATGATTGATAAACTAAAACCTTCTTGTTGGTTCAACCTGCCATTATTATTTCTATTAAATAAAAAGAACTATTGTCAATGTCATCATTGCATTGCACTGATGGGATAGAAAAATAAACAAGCAAAACCTTATTCGTTAGCAAACGTCATATTTATTTAAATGTTAGCAGCACTGTTTCTTGCACTGTTATGTTGGCAGGTTTGACTCTTACAGTACCTAGTGCAAGCGAAAACCGACACTAAGGTGACGAACCTTTTCATTCCGCGACTGTACCTAGCGATTATATTTATGTACATAACATAATAATATTATGTTCACTAAAGTTACGCTTCAAGCTTTACCTAGGCATATTTTCTATTTCTTTCATTTGACCAATGTTTCGGTGATACATAATTAGATCTGATTTTAAGTTTTTTTTTTATTATTATTAGCCTAGATAATATAAGAGCTGTGTTTCTTAAAAATACAAACTTGCTCAATATTAATAAGTCCAGAAAATATAAGAACAATTTTTCTGAAAAATCTTCAAACTTTCAAAACAAAACTGAAACACTAATATTTTTCTGTATTTAGTGGTTTTGGAAAGGACTTTCAACTCGCTAACTTATTCATTAACTTTAGTAAGTTTTCTTTAGAAAGCTTTTTTAAAATTAAAACCCTTCGCCTAACCGAAGGCGTCAGTAATTACTATATCGGCAAACATGAAAGAAATAGATTATACCTTACTCCGTGTGAACGAAGCCGAATTATACAAAACAACGAGTCATCCACCGTAGCCTAACAATCCCTTATTAACTTTGGTTAAACGATACAATCTATGACGCCGTCCCTAACCTTCGCCTAGGTATTAATAATTTCTATCCGGTGTTAGCTCACGCAAGCACGCGGATGTGATTTTACAAAATATATAATATACATTATATTTTATTTATATCCAAACACTTATATAGAACCGGGTATAGTTTTCGTCACGTAGCCACTCCAATGCACAACATTTATAAATTTTACAAATACTCACTCCTAATCATGATATGTTTTGTTACACAATTGCTCCTAGTTTGGATGTCCTAGACGAATCGATGGTCGATGTGATCATTCCATATAGTCAGCGGCGGCGTTGATGTTATTTTGTTTGAATAATTATCTATTGTAATGCAGGCTACAAAAATGCGAAGAAGCAGCATGAAAATAAAGCTTTCAACTGATTCAATATTAAACCGGAAGTATGCTCGTATCTACACAGCGACAGGTAGGTACAGTTGATTACATTAAAAGTGATGCCTTCCGGGTATGCAAGCTCACGTCAAAGTCACCAGAGCAAAGAAGGACGACATGTGATATTTTTATTCTGTTTCCCTCCATTATAATTGGATTGTTTATGATTACGGTATATTTTAACTTCGATTCTAGCTAAAGCGACAGACGTTGCAGCGTTGTTTGTCAGCGGTTTTTTTTCTCTTTCGCGTATATTGAATTCCTTAGAAAATGTTTTATTCTATCTCGGGCTTAGATATTATAATTTTATCCAACAATGTAGAGTCTCATTAGGTGGTGTATTTAGGTACGACAAACCGAGGAACTTGCTCCAAATTTACAAAAAAATAACACAGATAAGTAATTCCAAATATTCAAGTAATGAACAAAAGTAGACTGAAATGAAGTATCTACCCGGCCATTAAAATGGTCCTGTCTTTAAAATTCTCCGATTCCTTTTATATCTCAAGCTGCGAGTATCTGTGGTGCTTATATCGCCGCCGCAAAATGTTTATGTCGTGGCCACATGCTGTCTACTGTGACGTTTCATCGATACTGCCCCACATTTGCTGAGCCGACTGTACTTTTATTAACGATGATTTTTGAAAACATCTTTTCTAGAGTATTTTTAAAATATGTTTTTGCTTTACACTTTTGGAATCTAATCCTATTGAAAATATTTTGATAAATCGAACGAGATTTGAGTAAAATCTTAGATTAATGTTGTAAAACTTTTTGGTAGTTGTTGAAGCATAGAATGAATCATACAAAATTAAATCGCGTCCTAAAATTCTTTGGCCTTAACAACACTACAGTGGACAGGGATCTAGCATTGGTTGGTTAGCGTTTAGTTTCAAGTCATTATAAATCCCTAACGTCCTAAATTCAGTCTCATAATTGCGCATACATAAGTGAAAGTTAATTTACAAAGGATTTACGAAAAAAGCGAGAAGCTCGTACGGTAATTTTTAATTACTTTTTTTATAGAGTGTAATTAATAAAGGTAACTTATTTTTGTGACGAATTTTTATCATCTGCCTTTTATGGTTTTTTTAAATAAACACTTCAAAAATAGAGTAAACTAACATTAATAGTATGGCATGTAATTAATTATAAAGAGTTCCTTTGATTGTTGAAATATCGATCATTAATTAAGGGGTTACAATTAACAAACGAAATAATTACGTTGCCATCCTGTATAAGTCACCTGATCCTGATAGTCGTTATACGCGTGGGCATATGAAGTAATTAAGTAATTGTCGTTAAATTTGCCTCTTCTATTATTACTGCTAATTGAAATTAATAAGGAAAGGATTGAATTTCAAAGGACATTTATAGTAACTACTTGTAATTCAGTAATGACATAATGACACTATCAATGAACAATTAGGATTAAAATACAGGGTATATGGTACAGCTCCTTTTCACTGATTACAGCCTGTTCCTTACAGCTTGTATACGACTTTTAAGTTATTTACAATAATGTACTTTCAAGTCATAAATTACAATTGACTTCAATCAATTAATTAGTATTGTATCAAAACATTTGATTAAAAGACGAGGTAGTCTAAGACCGTTTTAAAATTTTAATATAGTCATAGTTAGGACTATATCAGCAACAATAATTGTTAGTTTATTAGAGTACTAATTAATTCACTTGTAATAAAATAGCATTCGTTTATTGTAACAAAATAGACGTTGAAAGAAAAAAGTTTTTCTTCTTGAGACTTAGTGTTGAGTAGTCTAATGGTTTTTGATACTAAAACTTATCTTTTTTCATTCAGAACACTCTTATTTTTCTTTTTGAGACATAGTGTTGAGTAGTCTAATGGTTGTTTGATACTAAAACTTATCTTTTTTCATTCAGAACACTCTTCTAGTATGTAGGGTTCGGTACTTTAGTGTGAGAGCGCTAGCCTATACATGACATTCGGTCACTGATTCGCACTCGCGCTCTGACGCTTGTCATCACAAAATCGCGCTATACATACCAGTCATGATAATAATATGAACAGCGCTAGAAACACTTGTTATTTGGCGAAGGTTTATTGAAATCATATTTGTTATTGACTTGCATTTGTGTTAATATTTTATGGATTTACTATTTGATAAATAATTTTCTATCATTAGATCTAATAATAAGCCTATTATAGGATCGGAAGATTTTGCATCAATAATTTCAGCCGCAACTAAATTTAAAACGCATACGAAATGTATCAGTGTTTAGTACTAATTTAGTACTAGAGAATAGCACAACCTATGCTTGTATGGGTGATAGAATTTTGACTGCAAATAAAGTCAAATTGGGGAGCACATCTCGTCATTAATTAAAACATGTCACTTTTAGTACTGATAATGTACGATGGACACGTTATAAAATGGTACCAATAATCACTGCTATAAGCACCGCAACCGAACCGTCACAAATGAATTTTAAATTCAATTTGGCTCGTTCAACTCCACTATGATTGGTGACAGTCGCCGACGCGATTCAATTCCAGGCGTCATTTCAGTGAAATGACGTCGTAATTATAAGCTACGGATATACAATGCTACTTTTATAAAGTGGACTTTCATGATAATGCAAACTGGTTTGGATTTTGGAAATGCACAACTGTACTTAAAATAGCAAATAAATAGTATAAAATAATAATAACAATAAATAAATATCCTTAGACATTTTACACTGCGCATCTAGTCCTAAACTAAGCAATATAGTATATTGTTTAAATAACGTTAGTTCAGTAAGGAAATCACAAATAAGCGTTTCCCATTCGCGCTATAGTTCAATACCCTTTGAAACACTATGAATAATACCATTTATGTAAATAGCATTCGATTAAGAAACGCTCAACTTAAGATTGGATGTGACAAGTAACATGTGACACTGTATATACATTTTGACAAAGACAATTTTACGCTTTCACTCCGGCGTAAGTATACTTTTAGAAACGTAGACGTTTCGTAAAATCGTATGCAAAATCGCATCGGCTCCCGTTTTATAAATAACATTCATTTAGAAGCTAAAATGGCACACAAACAGTACAACTAGCGCGAGTATATGTTTAGAATAGGGACATTTAAATCGATACGACGAATTCATTTCTGGGCTAACGATTTTCACCGGCAGTTGTGTGGGCGGCGGCTCGATCCGTACCACGTTTACTGAAAGAATACAAATAATTAGATCCACATTAAGTGGGCAGAATAATATCAAAAGTGGTCTATAAATATGCTGACATGATAATCGGAGTTAATTTTTGTTTGTCTCTATAATATTATACTCTTCAAGTCTGCTTAGTGCTATGAAAAAGCTTTAGCCAAAGGTTGTCAGATTATAACGTGCTCAGCTTACTGATTCTATATTCTTATTTTTTATTCTCTGCCTCAAGACAATTATAGGATTAAGATTTAATTTCATCATCAACATATTGTACTTATTCTGTTGTACAGTCGCGGAATGAAAAGGTTCGTCAGTTTTCAAATTGATTCCTTCAACGAATCGCGAGCACATATTACCTTTTGAAACTATGTTACAGAATAATCTCGAGTTAGAGGAAATAATCTTTAACTGTTCGTCAGCAAAGTTCAAAATTATTCAGATCAAAGTTGTTTGACGATTCATCTTGTCAAGAAGATTATTATGATTGATAAACTAAAACCTTCTTGTTGGTTCAACCTGCCATTATTATTTCTTTTAAATAAAAAAAACTATTGTCAATTGGTCAATGTCATCATTGCATTGCACTGATGGGATAGAAAAATAAACAAGCAAAACCTTATTCGTTAGCAAACGTCATATTTATTTAAATGTTTGCAGCACTGTTTCTTTTACTGTTATGTTGGCAGGTTTGACTCTTACAGTACCTAGTGCAAGCGAAAACCGACACTAAGGTGACGAACCTTTTCATTCCGCGACTGTACATAATCTACATTGACATGATCTACATAATCATTGTCTAGAAGCCAGATTGTCATCAAAGATTCCAGATAATACAAATAGAATCGGTCTGTTACAGAAAGGGATAATCACGCATTCAAAGACAAGAGCGTAGCTCTCAAATATTGATTCTCAAACAAGTAATGAATGCAAAGTAATTTGTTATTCGAATGTGCCTTTGTGAGACCTTCGCTTGCGTCTTGAGTGTATATATCTATAGCTTAAAGGTTCGGCCAAACCAACGCGATCACACGCGATTAGCCGGCGTGTAGCGATGGCGATCAATGCATTTAAGTCTGGTCGCCATCGCTGCACGCCGGCTGATCGCGTGTGATCGCGTTGGTTTGGCCGAACCTTAAATCTGAGGTGGAATTGTGTAATGCAATCGTAAGCATTTGACAGTTCATAACGTACGATAAAGTCAGTTAAACAAAGCGTTTGACAGAATAATCGTACTTTATAAACTGTCAAATGATCAGGATTGCTTTACACAATTCCACCTCTGGCCGCCATCGCTGCACACCAGTTGATCGCGTGTGATCGCGTTGGTTTGGGCGAACCTTAACTCTGTCAGTGCAGGTATGGGAGCGGTATGGGAGGGTGATTTTGTGACGTTCAAAAGTCAGCGAGACCTCAGATTTATATGCGCGTCACGTCATAAAATATCAATGTCACTTCCATGCCTCAGGCACTGACTGACTTTAGCGGTTGATTTATAAATTTGCTTACCTGTAACGGTCTGGTTCTGTACGTCAGCGAAACCTTCATCTTTACTGGCGTAGCTGGGTATGGTGCTGAGGCAGGTGATGTCGACGGTCTGGTTGGGGTACAACTGCAGGGTGACCAGCGGGAAGTGGAGCGAGGAGTTGGTGATGGAGAGAGGCATGCCGTGGTGGTGCCGGTGGATGTTGACCGTTCCGTGCGGCACGGTTAGACGCTCGTCTACCTGTTTGGAAGTAGAAGGAAACATTTATACAGGGTGGAATTTTGTAATGCCACCTGGAGGGAAAGTACTCTTAATACTGTAGATAGAAAAATTTACTGAAAGAAAACATTCCTTTATTTTTGAAAAGAAAGAGAACTGCAATCAAAGATTTTCGAAAAATTTTCGACAATTCACTACCATACCATACAATTTACTGTAACATAATTGAAATAATTTAAGATTTCATGATTTTCCTTTCATTTGATTTATCATGTTTGTAAGAGAAATTTCATCCTTATACTTAGCCCTAACGATCGATGTAATCAAATTACAGGGTGTATTTTTTAACAGATTTTAGTTGGTTCGATTCCTGGGTGTGGTAAGCAAATTTTTGGAAATCTTTGAATACAGTTCTTTTTCTTTTCAAAAATAAAGGAATGTTTTCTTTAAGAAAAAAATTCTATCTAAAATATTAAGAGTACTTTCCCTCCAGGTGGCATTACAAAATTCCACCCTGTATAGCTCATGCGATAGCTGGTATTCATTCACTGGCTTAGTTTTTTTTTGGTGGTAAATTTATTAAACCTGGCTGCACAAGAGTTGCAGTGGAGGGAACTAGAGGTGGGATTTGTCCCGTTATATGTTAACTTTTTGCTAGAGATCAGCTCTTGAAAGGCAGATTTAATCACTTAGATCAAAGGTAAGAAAAAACAGAAAAAATATAGTAACTATTTCTAGTAACTGTAGACAATAATATCATCAATAATTTGTGTACGTATTTGTACATAAAAAATATCATCAATAATTTGACAAGAAAATATTATGAGTTAGACGGACATAAAATTATAATATTATGACCCAATTTTACCCAAAAAGCAAAATATTTATTTATCTATAATGTTGTTATCCGTTATCCAGGACCTTCTACAAATAACATTCAAACATTTCAATAACACACGTCTGTTCGAGACTTGATCCCAACTATTTCCTGTGATATCTTATTCACTCGCTATAAAACATTTTACGATAAGTATAAGTATACTCTTTACTGGATGAAAAATATTTGCGTTTCTTGCTTCAACAAAAGTTCAAACTTTATTAAGGTTTGTTGAGCTGAGTATTCGAATTCATGCTATTCGATCACCTTTGCAGCGATTTTTGCTTTGCCGCATGATTGACTGTGCCGTACCGATAGCAAGATTACGTGAAAGGTAGGTAAATAGGTTTCAGCAACGAAAAATGGACTAAATTCCTAGCTCTCACAGAGAAATCGCTTCAAAAACACACAAAGGCCGCGTTCACGTACGAACACGCGGGGCTTGGCGCGGTGCTCAAAGCGGCGAAGCTGACGCACATATTGACGTTATAGCGGGGGAAGTGTGCAATATAACGGAGGCACCTTTATACAGGTTTGTGTTTTTTAAGTATGCATGATTGGCCAAATTGCAAAATATACATACATAGGTATTCCAAAAAATTCCGTGGTCATTCAAATAACTTAATGAAATAACGCGTGAAATAATGATTTTTTAATTTCCTCTTTGAAAAATGTTTTCTAAAGAATCCTTGTCAACCGTAAAAAATAACATTAATTTAGTTTGGACGAGAACATCCAGAAACCCATTATCAGTTATGGAAATGTGCCTCCACACCAAAGACGCCTTCATTTCAATGATAAAAGCTCAGACAGAAGGCAACGTTACTTTTGTTGAAGGCACTGCTGAATTAAATTACAAGCCATACCTAAATACCTAACAGAAAAAAGAAAAAGAGCACTTTACAAATCTATCTAATTTAGTTTCTGTATATACTTAAATCAGATTCAAACGCAAATAAACTCATTATTTGCGTAAAAATACTGGGTTGTTTTTGGGTATATTCACTAATACAAAGTAATAACTAATTTAATTCTAAAACAGCTTAAAGTTTTGGTACACGTGCCAGTGTATTTTTTTCAATATTACCCTTTTCACGTTTCCAGAGAAATATTATCCTACCAAGAATTAAATTCTGTAATACAGAAGTTTTGGAGTTAGCTCTCAAGTTAGTTTTAAATGTTTTATCGTGTCAAGTCCCTACAAATTGTACCTATAAAAGAGGTCGTTCCGAAATCAACTAAAATCCTGGCTAATGTGCCAGATTTAAAAGATATTTCGTCGATAAACTTTTTGAAATATTCATAATACAAAATACAGTCTGGGAGGTATTAAACATTCAAAATTTAGTACGTGATTCGACGATGATTGCTGCCGGTCGAACCATTTGAAAGCAAAATAAAACTATTCGTATGGGCGTGAGTTTTGCGATAGCATCTAGATAACTACCGGGAAAGGAATAAGGAAATTATAATTGTAAATGGCTACAAACTTTTGGTTAGAACGAAGCTAAGAATACTTTGTTAGGTAATCAAGTCAAGAATACTGGCGATAACATAAATGTTAATGTTTCTGTAAAAAAATGGTGGTAAAACTTTTACTTTTTGCCCTAAATAATTTAGTATTGGAATAATAACAGTAAATCACAAATCATATTTAGTAAAAGTTCTTACTTTGTTCTTAAATTTTTTTCTTTACACTTTTTAACAAAAAGGTTCGTGTGTAATGTGCTCATAATATTAACGCCTGCTAAAATTATGTAAACACGGATGTAATACCTCAAAATAACATAAGATTATCATCAAAAAATACCTTAATTCGTATAAAAGGAGATTCATATCAAGGATTCACCACAATCATAAGAAATTCAAGACGGCATCAAACGTTTATTCTTGTGCCAAAATAATTTAGAAAAAGGTAATAAGAACAGGCATTCCATACAAAACGTGCTTCATTTATGAAATGTTGGGAGCATTAATAGGCACACTTTGTAGACAATTTAGTGATAAAGAAGCTGCTTAGTTATAAAAAAATATTGATTTCTTTAAATAAATAAACAAAACAGTAGTATACTGTTATAATAATAAGTTTGCACAGTTTAGGCATAAACGAGTGCCGTAATAACAGTCCTGTGAAAATTAGACCTCTGTTATCAACAAAATCAGTACCTCGTCTTTTACTGGCAGACGGGTAATCAATGTGCCACATTAAATCTCATCATCTAAGAAGAATAATGAAGTGTTATCTGTAGGCCGATAGAACACACAATGCAAGACTAACTCAATAGGGCTTAGTCCATATTATAATCACATTCATGGGGTGCAGATTTGACTAAATGATCACGCTTATTCGCGTTCAGCTTGTTTGATAGCTATACCCTTATGAGATGCAGATGTCACGATAGCCGAACGGTGAAGGGGCCGCCTCGTGATCCGGGGAACGCGGGTTCGGCTATTGCGCCGTTGCTCGACTATTGTGGTGAGCTCCTAACCTAACCTAACCTATAAACTTAACCTTGAAAGCCTTGCGGCATCTATACCCTTAAGTGATCTGTCTTACCTTCACATTATTTATGAACCAGGTGAGGTGCGGCGCGGGGTGCGCGGGCGCGCTGTGGCACGTCGCTTCGAGGTGGTCACTGGACAGCAGCTTTTTGTGTTTAATTTTTATCTTCGGACGGTGTTTTTGACGGACTGTAAAGATGGAAGCTGTTAGTCTTGCTAATATTAAGTGTTTGGTGCTCTCATGCTTAAACCACTCAACGAAAGGTAAAGCAGCCAATCTGGAAATCATTGTGGAAGACCTATGTACAGCAGTGGACGGCTAAAACAATTATTATAGAGTTTATCCCAGTTTTTGGGAAGGGAATCTTTCTGCGACAGAAAGTCGTTCACACGGGCGAAGCCTCCAGAAAAGGCTAGAAATACACGTTTGATAACTGAAATACCAATTTGACCTGATTATAGGGTAGATACAAAAAATAATGAAATAAAAATACTAACAGTTCGGCAACCTACTGAGGAGCTCCGAATCTCAAAGGACATCATGTCAAAGTCGTACGACGACATAATTTTTATAGTCATTCGAAAAAGACCCACATTTCTTTAAGAAAGCTATGTAAATATACAGGATCCATACCTACATAGGTACGCTTAAAGAACAAGAATTAATTTGACTAGTAGAAACGTTGTGCTCCATGAATAATATTAGAGCTGGTGTAAGCCATGTATAGTGCTACAATGTAGGTAGGCACAAGAAAATTAGTGTGTATTTGATGCTTTTTACTCACCGATTACAGTAAGCTCGTGAATCTTAGACACTTTGGAGTAGAGCGGCGTATCGAGCGCTATCTCGCAGGCGTACGGCCCAGACGCCGAGAAGTCCAGCCTCTCCAACGTTATCGACGTCGGGTATAGCTGGATTAACTGCAAAATAAACTATGTCTTAGGGCCCTCGCCCACGGCGAAACGCGCGACAGCATCGCTACTAACGCGCGTTAGACGCATTTGCAACGCAATAGAGAAGTGATGCCAACGCGCTACTAACGCGCTACAGCGGCGCGACTGCATCGCTACAAAAAGCCGCCGTGGGCGAAGGCCCTTAGAGAGGTTGTAATAAAATCACATATTGCCATTGAAGTAATATTACTACGTAGTACATTATAACTCAATGCGTATTGCTTGATATTCCAGGTGAGTAGTGTGACGTTTACAATTCAGCTGATATGGTGTATTAAGGTGAGTCCAGACTATGTAACATAACACGTTATAAAATAAAGTTATTTAGTAAGTTAATTTGTTAAAGAAATAAATTAATACATAATTTTGACACACTCTTATCTATGACATGCCTCGTTCACGAGACCCTTAAGTTCATGCCTACTGCTGAGTGTTGTTACATGTTCTTGGATATAAAAATACACTCTTTAATCGATTCAAACGTACAGATTCAATTCAATAAAATAATAAGGCTAGGTTGCACCAACTTACTTTAACTTTGACAAACGTCAAAAATCTGTCAAAATCCATACCAAAACCACCGGTTATCGTTAAAGTTACGGTCAAAGTTAGGTGGTGCAACTCACCCTAAGTTCTGAGACACCTGAGGCTACCTCGATTATTATATTAATACAATGAATAAAAATTTATAATGCATAAAATAGAGTCATTTACTAAAAGTATAAAGCCATAAAAGTGGAAGCTTATCTTAATCTCAATAACCCCATTCAAATTGCTACCATTCCATCAAAGTGAACCGACAAAGGCTACCTTATTTGCTTCCAAAGTAAATGACGGAGTACTTTCCACTGCTCATTAATTATTGTGGAACCTGAATCCATTAGATATCTTCACTTAACGGACAACAATAAAATGGATAAAACGAAGTTCATTCATTATTATCTCTATTGTATGTTGAAAACGGTTTAAAAATAATTTAATTGGACTTTATTGTCAGTTGATAATCTCGAATAACTCGAAAACGATTTAAGCTTCATAGAGGCGAATATTGCATGCAGTACGATCCAATATAGCCCAGTTTTGCAAGAACATTATTATCTGCTACGAAACTGGTCTGTAGCAAGTCCGTAACATTGATGTAGCAGAGTAGCTACGAGATCATCGATCGTAGTATTTCGTAGTATCGTAGCATGCCTAGCAAATAGTTTAGTTGCTTGATATACAAAGTTTCTACATGAATTAATTATAACGGGATTTAAATAGTACAATGTATGTAAGTCAGTTACAATGTATGTAAGTCAGTTTTAGTGGAAGCTTATTTTATGGTCTCGCGTTATATCTTTTTTATTTAAATTTTACAATGACAAAATATTTCGTAGTAGGTACTAAAACAAAGAATTTATTCCTGGAGGCTCCCAGAGGTTAACAAAAGCTCCAGTGACAATTGTTTTGCTACCAGGGTCAGATGTTTAGGATTCCAGCGGAATTTCGGACGAAATGATGTAAGATCGGCCTCGGTAAAAATATTAAACAATACAAATCTTGTTCGGTCTTTTCTCTATTTAGGTTTTCTCGCTTAATCGTTGAACACATGTTTGTGAATTACTTATTAATGACACTATTTTTGTAAGAAAGAAAGAAGTAAAACGCGGTATCAAAATTGGATATTCGTCTACAAAGTGTTTTTTATTTTTTGCAGAATACGATAGGCTTTCTGTACCGAACCAAAATCCACGTGGGCGACCGTGAATAATTGCTATTTATCTATAAAATCCTCACTATTCACCCACTATGTTGCTATCTGTTCATTAGATATAGTAGAGTATTGGAAGTTGTGCCAAACTTGGACGCGTGGGAAAGAGCACGTACGGGACTGTGAAACGTAATAATAATGTTATACGACTACAGACCGATAAAAACTTATCTTTTGGAACGAATACTTGACACGACAATGTTTTCCTTATATATTTTAAAGTTTAACTATAGTGCATTTGTTTTGAGAAAATAGAGAATATCCAAGCCAAGAAATTTAAGGCCATTTGACCAATGTTTATAGTGGAAGCTGTGTTCACATTGTCCAGTTTATGTTTAGACAATTTTGCATTAATATTACTTATTGGTTTGATTAATACTACATGAAAATGCGCCTTGCACTGCACTGCTGTTTCACTATTTTCTAAACGCGAATTACTATAGGCACTATCTCGTGCATTAAACTTATATTAAAAAGATAGTAGCTAGTTAGCTCGGGCACTTACCATATGTCAATAAAATGATATAATAAGATACCTACGAATATAAAGAATATTGAAAATGATAATTTGTTTGGTAAAGAATTGAAGGAATGGTTATTAAAGAAATGTTTTTTTTACTTTTTACTCATTGAAAGAATTGTATGATCTCAAAAATTAATTAGAATTTGTACTTACATTTATTATTATTAAAATAATTTAGATTAAGCTTAATTAATATTATGTATAATGTTGCAATGCCCTCACAGGGCTCATGTTCTGGGACTGTTTTATTTTTAATACCTTGTTTGTACCACATGAAGCAACAAAGATATTATGATTATGCTTATGATTATGATTATATTATTATTATTTCTACCAAAATGTCTCCGGTCTTTTAAAAATATTACTCACATTTATATCAGCACCTGTCACGTTGTAAAGCTCGTAAGGCGGGTCTCTTTCTCGGACGTACTTCATGAGTCTTTGTCCATTCTTGTAGAAAACCACCTGCGAAACAAAGAACCATCTAAAATATCATGATAAACAATATTATTCGTACTTCGTTTAATACAAATATCACAAAAAATTCAAATGTTTTTAAATCACAAGTACACACGTTAAAAAACCTTATGAGATTAACTGAAAAGCGTATTTTATGTAAAGAAAGACCATGGGTTTATGTAAAATCAACTCTAGTGTTTTACATTATAACGAAATTAAATTGCACTTAGGATTTCGGTGCATGTGCTGTTTGAGTGCCACAATAGTAGAGTGTTTTTTTATGTAACATGTTGAAACTATTTCGAATGATTGAAATGTTTACGGGAATAAAGACTGAACAAACAGCGACCCGACAAATATAGCCTATTTCGAATTCGCCGAAACACAAACGTGAATTCGCACTAGTCAATAGCACAAATAGCTCCAACCCAGAACCAACACAGTCGCTTCACAATGGAATTCCACTCATTCGGATGTCCACATATTTTAAAAGTCCACGAGCCCGTGCTTATCAAATTTATTTTGTGGAAAATCCTACGTTAAAAAACTTTACACTCAAGTTAATTTAAAGTAGTCAGTGCCAGCCGCAAACAATGCGATTCTCTGTCTTTATCCTGGGTTATTGCATGCACTTTAAGCCGTTTAACTTAAGGGTCATTATGCAATATTGCCCACCTGGCCACAGGCAAACATTATTTTCCAGTTTCACCGGGATGTATTATATTTGAACTTTAAACCGATGGCTTACGACTCATATTATCACAAACTGAATTTAAGCCGAAGCAAATTGCATTGCTCGAAATGCGTTTATTTATACGTACTTTCCTGCACTCAAACAATTCAGACAATGGCGGAGTATGTAAAGCGGGAGCACTGTTATTATATTTAATAAAATTATTACTGTTACTTATTAACATGAAGATACAAAAGCTACGGTTGAAGGTTTTCAGAAGCCTTTCCGGTAAAGCTAAACTGTTTTTCTGCTTTCGTAGAAATTTTCTTCTGTTATCAAATCTAATTAAGTTAATTTATGTTTTCCTGATTGTTACAAATTGTTTGTCTTTTGTATGGTATCCTTAGCCCAGAAATGGTAAAGGTATAGGCACTAGTATCGATTGGTGTTTTGCTATTTGGTTGATTCCACTAGCCACGCCCACGTCGCTAAGTAGGTACTTAGGCTATCTTTAAAGTATGCAATTTGGAGTCAGAAAGACGAGTTCGTCGTAGTTTGTATAAAATTGCTAACCAAATCGCAAATAATTTTACATTATGTACCTATCTGAAATCACGTCGCAAGGTTAAAGAATTTCACCACATGTGGCCTTATCAACATCTTGTGCCATCTTCTAGCAACCAGTTAATAATAATTATACGTTTATTTCAGACCATTATGATCCATACAGAGTTGTGTTAGTAGCAATATTATACTTAAAATCTAGGTTAGTAGTAACATAAATTAGTAAAAAAAAACACGGTTTCTGGGTCCATGCATGTGAATATTAATCCAATGCTTAAAGATGGGACACGATGGCCTATCTTTGATAACCGACAGAATGCTGTTGTCGCTCTCCCGTATCCTCGCAAGCATCGAGGCTGTTCGTTTACGGATGATAGCGTAGAAGTCATCCACACGCGTTTTTAAATAGTAGCACGTACCTACCTACTTTCATTTTAATCTTATTTTTTTAATCTAAGAAGAAGTTGTTTAGTGCATTAATGAATAAAATGAAATAAACAATGTACCTTATAAATCGAAGCCGGATCGACATTGTGATCGCAGCGCAGCACCACGTTGTTCCGATGCACAACGAACCTCGGCGCACGCAGCTCCACCCATACATCGTTCATACCCGCCACTGCGAAACACATTCCAGTACTGTACGATCGGTCACGTCAACTTACAGTGCATAATGAGTTGTTGCAATTCACGAAGGCGAGTGAGCTTTACATGTATTGTGTGGTGGCCTGGAAAAGTTTTGATAGACATTACACTATCAATTAGTGCATGTACACGTACACACACAAGTAAAGCTCACTCGCTTTCGTGAGTTGCAAGAACTATTTATACGGAATATACAAACTGTCTAGTCTGCACAAATCCTCCATTTGCTTATGGTACAGTCAGCGTCAAATAGTTCGTGACACGCAAAGTAGCCAATAAGTTAATCGCAACGCGTCTTTGTTACATAGGAATAAGGTTGTCAACTTTTTGGCCACTTTGGGTATGACGAACTATTTCACGCTGACTGTACATACAACAAAAGACAGATAATGTTGTATACATTTATAATGTAGCATTTTAGAGCATCTAATGCTCTTGACATACGTCAAAAATCTGTCAAACTCCATACAAAAAACACCGGTTATCGTTATAGTTAAACGGTCAAAGTATGATGGTGCAACTCAGCTTAAATGATGAATCGATTAGTACTAAAATACTCGTACTTAAATCACCAAACTTTATAAATTTTCACTCATCAAATTCTCTATACATACTTACCTACCGTTAATAATATACATATAATTAGTGTGACAATAGCGGCACGCGATCTATGTACAGACAATGGCTGGCACATCAAGCTAAATACTGTGGCGTCTTAAGCAGTTGTAATAAGTTCTATATTCCAACAATAAGATTTGATGTCGACAGCACATCACCATTGTTCACACGTTTACCCATAAATCATTTAGAATATCTACGTTCTTCGGAATATTAACCCACTATTTGAGGCAAGCGGCAATTATACTGTTGACACCCTTTCATATTCACTCGTAGGTGGCGAAGGTCTCATCAAAAACAACTTTAATTATTAGGTAGGTATGTGAGCAATATTGAGGTGAAGAGAAAGTTTTAAGTTGATGCCTTCTAGGAGTTAAATTAATTATGTTATACCTACCTATTATACCTGCGTGTGTCTATGGGCGATGGTAATCATTTACCATTAGGTGATCCGTCCCATAAAAAACCTACTGTACCTGTAACAATTCGATTTCTAACAACTTCTAGGTAACACGTGAATAAGCAAAGAGAATTATTCACATCTCTTAAGATTATTTTGTGTAAGTAATGATCCTTACGTGAAATATTAATAGAGTCGTTCGCTAAATGTGACAATGAAATTCAGGTTTTAAAATCTCGATCTGTTTTCATAATCGAATGATGTTTTTTTATAGTCTATTAATTAACGAAGATACAATGCCATCACGGAAACAGTAGCTTTACGATCATGAGTGAGATATTATCGTGACGTGACGTTTTGAAATGGTTTGTTGTTCTTTGTTTAAAATATTTTATCCCGGACCTTTCATTTTTCATAAAATAACTAGTTTGACAGTACTTATTATTATTCTGTGGTTTGACTACAAAAATCTTTATTTTAACACATATAAAATAAAAAAGAGTTTGTGCGTGTACGGAAATGGCGCGTCCATGCGCTAAATAAAATCTCGTGTGTATTTTTGTTTAACTGACCGTACCTAATGTAATTATTTTTAGCATTAATTTTGCTCGCATACCCACAACCTGTTAGTTAGTTGGGGGCCTGAATTTGTAACTTACGCTATAAATATTTTAACCCTTACAGTCCCTGGGTATATTTACCGACTGTAAGGTCGATTTTTGTATTTTAAACTGAAATATTCGTTTTCCGTCGTTCCCGAACGCTTCGGTTAGTCGCTGACAGTTATTAAACTTTCAGACTAACTCGGGACATATTTTTCGGAACCAGACGGAACATCTGCAGTTACTACGTTATTGTAGACTTGTAGTGCAGTATTTTGGAAGGTATGTTGGCAGTAACACTCGAGTAAGTACGAGTAAGTACCTACAGTTTTCCCAATAGTATATACTGGGTATTCTGGGTAATTGTTTCGTAACGTAAATTAATAAACTAATATTAGAGCTTTTCTCTAGTATGAATCCACACTCAAAAGTAGGACTTGAACACACAACTTTTATTGTCGCCAACGACTGAGCTTCGAGACACAGCCTTTGTAAGTCTGTTAAGCTTTTCAAGCGTATTTCAAGCTGTGAGCCTTAAGATGAGGCAGAAAGAAATAAAATTGCGCAAATCCTATAGTCCGAAATAAAAATGTTACCATAGATTTACTATTTAAAATGTACAAGATAACATAAAAATTAACAGAAACGGCAATAACAGCAAAACTGTCCGTTGTCGTGCCGTAACTGGGTTATCAATTTTAATTCGCCTGCACGAAGCCAAATGTGTAATTTATCGCTCTCAAAGTGCATTTTTGAACGCAAATATTCGAGCCGAAGCGCGATGTCGCTCCATTTTGCACGATGACAGTTATTACAATCGCCACCGCACGTATATTACGTATCTCATGTGTTTACCACAACTGTAAGTTATCTTAAATTATTTCATAACTGTCAATGAACCATTCCTGTAAGTACAGTTCGAAATAAAAAGGCGTCAGAAGGCATATGAGAAGCTTATACTTTTTAAACTGTTTTATTTAGCTTGCTCTGTTTGTTTTTATTTGCTTAAACAATAGCTAGCGCAAATAATTAGGTAGTAAGACTAAACATTTTCTTTCTAACCCGAATAAAGTAGGTATCTAGAATATTATTTCGACTTTATGACAGAAGACAGCTCTCAGCTGTCAGCTGAGTAAATATTTATGTTGCTAACAGTATTAAATTACATATTCTTTATCTTTTGGTTTGAGGAAAATTGGTTGAGCTTTGGTTTTATAAGCAATAATTTATTGAATAAGTAGATATAGGTACGTAAATAATAATTTTACATACATTTTGTTATGTATCTAAAATAATTATTTATGTATTTCATAAATCCATAATTATAACGTATTATATGAAGAGTGACTAAAACAACATACTTAAGCCCATTCATCAAGGAAAACCCGGAGAGTGCTCACCTGGCTATTCTCATCATACTTAACTTCAAGTAAGCGCGAGGAATTTGGGAAACAACATTAACTTGTTAAGGCGATGAAGACGTTAAGTATATTATACGTGAGGTTTTAATTACGCTGAGCGTTTAGGCGTATTTATGATACACGCCTGCGTGTCGCACGGTAGTGGTAACTAACAGAGTTTGTAGGTAATCGTATAGAAAGTGCCAATTTTTCTAAGAATGAAGGTTAAAAATATTAAGACCTAGCTATGTTAGAGAAAACTTATCTTTGATTGCAAAATGAAGTTATGTTAAGATTGCTAAGACAATACAATGTCTCATTGAGTAGATTTTTATAAATACTCCTCAAACAAAATTATCAGTCTCTGTTGTATGTCCAGAACACCACATTCAGAATCAGTTTAGCGTGTCAAATAAGAACGCTGGAGTTTATATTAGACATGTTTTTTAATATTTATAAAAATTACAGGATAGTTTTCTACGTAAGAGATATTACATAAATCATAAGTGCTCATAACTGCGCATCGTCTCAGCCAAATGACGTCCACTGCTGGACAAAGGCCTCCCCCAAGGTTTTCCACAATGAACGGTCCTGCGCTGCCCGCATCCAGGCTCTTCCCGCGACCTTTACCAGATCGTCGGTCCACTTAGTAGGAGGCCTGCCCACGCTACTACGTCTTCCAGCCCGTGGTCACCATCATTACATCAACTGCGCATCATTACATCATTATCATAGGCATTTTACGTGAACGCAAAAGTGATTACACATTTGACTTAAAGTAAAGTGTGTATGTTGTTCTGTTTGTTCTATTTCAGCCATACAAACCGTAATTACGCAATATTCGCTCCTAATGCGAAACGAGCATTAATCAATGGGGTGGAAATTATCCCCAAACTAATGCTCTTAATTTACAACAGTTATAAACTTTCTATGTGTTCATTAGCTGCTGAGAAATTAGTAGAGTTTAAATTACAATCACATGTGGAGCTTGAGTGTTACATGTTCAAGAGTTTTGTCGGTTTGTCATGTAAAGAAGTTTTTATGTCGAATTATAAGATTTTGAAATTATTTAAACATTTTTGACTTTGCAGATGTAAGATGATTTAATTTTAGTATTTCCTTCTTTCATTCAATTCAGCATCCAGAGAATTTAAATTATAATCGTATTTAAAAATATAGTTAGGTTCTTTTATCACCAACTCACTGAACATTATAAAATAACGTAGATAGATACTTAACGTTTGTGTAGGTAGGTGCCTACAAGCCTACAAAAACATACTGACAACTGAAAAGACATAGCCACCATAATAGTTCAAGCAATTAAATAACTTTAGAACCGTCGATCGAGTAATTTGGGACCTATTATCCATTCAATTCTACAGGAGTACCTACGCACAACACAACCCTGTCGTCTCAATTCAAAGATCAAAGCAAAACAATGCCAATAAGCGTTTATTTCTTGAACCATACGATTTAAATTTGAAACTCAGGGGGGTTAACTGAGGAGGCTAAGCCACCACGTAAATTTCAAGTTATAGCTCACTTCCATCAACGTAAGTTACTCGAGGGTCTGCTATTAGGCCGGGTTGGCGTGTCCATATTTATCTTCCTTCTCAAGGGTGTCACTATTTCACTTTATGACGTAATCTAAGAGTAACTGCTATCCATAACTTGCTGGTACCATAGAGTATAGCTTAGAAGAGTGAACAGAAGTCTCGAGTGACCTCGTAAGACTGTTTTACTAGCTGTAATACTCGTATAACTTCTTGAGCTTTCCGTTTAAGGACTATCTTGGTCTTTATAACTGAAAACAAATAAATTACGAGTACATTTGAAGTCATATAAACATGTTGGCGAACTGCATCATTTGAGCTTATATTCTCTCCTCCCTATCTCATGTGAAATAATAAAACAAACATAATATTCATAAGCATAGAAAACAAAAATTCTTCTC